CATCAGTGCCCTCTCCAGCAGCAAACCACACCATATAAATGTTATTTTGAAATTAGCCTTGTGCTATAAGGGGGATTAGCTGGCATGCTTGAAGTGTGAATACCTAATGTCCTCTCTCCCTAAAGAAAGATAGGTTGTGGGTATTTTTGCCCTCCAACTTCATGGTGCTTGGTTTCAACTCAATTTATGATGAGTGCCCCAAGGCCATTTTTTCAGTCAATTCTAGTTTAAAAGAATTAGCAGGATTTTTATTCTCCAGCATTAGACTGGTAGTCTGACTCTCACTCAATGCTGGAGGAAGAAGGTGAAAAAATAGGATTGCAATCCAGCATAAGATACTGCAATAGAAAGAGATAGGAACCAGGGTTGCTTCCTTTTGTAGGTCTTGCAAGGAAAAACAGCAGATCTGCCAGGCTACAGATTGCTGTGTGAGCATGCAGTGAGGTTAGAAGAGCATATGGCAGGAGTGGCTGCCTGGCTGAAGTGCACCTATTGCCAGCCCTGTCATTCAGGGCTGTGGAGACAAGATAAAGCTTTATTTTAGTGCCCTGACAGCTGACAGGAACTTGTCACATTGCAGAAGCTGCTGAATCTAAAGTCAGGGGAAGAAGGGGAAGAGAAGAGAAATCAAAAGCAATCTCCTACTTGGTGCATACTTGTTTAATCTCTGGGGGACAAGAGATAGGATGAGGTCTCTCGTATTCTATGCACACAGACTCTAGCACTAAGGGGTGGTAACAAGTGCAAGAAGAACGCAGCAGAAAAAGGTGATAGAAGAATCTGGACTGTACTTTATTTCATGTTATACCCTCTTTTCAAAAGACATGGGGAATCTCTTGCTGTTTGGTATGGGTAAAACTGCTCTGAGATTTCCCTGTAACTACTCAAAATGGAGAAGAATCTGAGCTGGCAGGATCTTCCTTGCAGTGTTCCTGGTAAGTGTAGAGTTCATTTCCACAGATCCAGAGAGGGGAGATGGGGAGGAAGAACAGGGTTTTTACTTTGGGGAAAAACCTGATTCTTTCTGCAAAATCAGTAACAGTTATTGGGCTGGAAACATAAACACTGTAGTGTTTTATTTACATTTTTCTGCAGACATTTTCTGCTAGTGCATTTAGGAAAAAAAGAGCCTAAATAAAAAAGAAAGCCCCATAGGACAGTTCTGTTGAGGTTTTTGAGGTCATTTTTCTCTCTATTCAGTTTTAGTCACATGATTTAGACACAGTCCCTCTACTGAGTATTCCAACAACAGCTTCCACCACCTTTACTGTTTATTCCAGGTAATTCATCACATAATAGGTTTTAGGCTGTGGGGACTGCTGTATCATTTCCATTCCTAGCAAACATACAGCCAAACATGCAGCCTTTTTCCCCACCAAACTTAGTAGAAATGTCTCTATTACAGTGTTCTGCATCTTATCAGATCACACCTAAGGGCTGCTAGTTCCTTGAGGCAGGAGACCTCCTTTACACAACACTAGATACAATGCTGGTGTGAGACAGATGTGTCAGCTCCTCTCATCTGTTAACACAACTGCAATAAAAAGACAAATCTGACCTGGATTTCAGTGGCAGTCAGGACTAAATGCTAGATTCAGATCCAATGAGCGAGGTATTTTAGTCAGATTTATGTACCTCTCTTGGAACATAACATCCTTAAAAACAGAATCTGGATTCGCTTCTCATTGACATGCTGTGTCAATGACACATCTTCTTAATGTGCTGTTGGTGCCTGGTTGTTCCTCATGTTTCCTCTGGCTCTACACAATAAAACACCTTTTGAACAAGAACATGTCTTGGAAGCTGAATAAACTAAGTCTGTGCTCGAAACATTTAACAATTGTAGGAAAGAAGGCAAGGAAATCTGCCAGCATGGCTGGAAGAGAAGCTTATCTTGCCTTGGCTGGATTCACTTTGGTTTTCCTCTCCAGCTTCTTTCCATCATTTGCTGCACCAATGTATCCCTGAGGATGCTGACCCCAGAACAATGTGCTGCAAAGATGATTACAGTCTAAAAAGGAAAAGAAAACCCTGTCACTATGGTTGTTATGGGTTTTAGCTTTTCACACTTAATCCTTTAATTGGTCTTTCTGGCAAGAAGAATTCGATACTTGGCTTTATTGCTGCATGGATGAGCCCTATTGCAAATCCCATCGGGATAAAGTTACAGTCATTTGGCAGTAAGAAGATCCATAGCAACCTCTCAAAAGCCTACCCAGAGGGTTCCTTGTTGACATCACAGTCTCTGTATGATGTCATTTTCTCCTAGAAAATGAAACACGAAAAAAGAAGTAGGACCTCTGGATATTTGATGAGATTGAGGCTAGCCCTTACTCCACTATTGTACCTATCAAGAGTTATGTCAAAGGAGAGTTTGGGTCTTGGCTTTCAGCCAGAACAATGATGAAGACAAAACGCAGTATAAGAAGGTATATAAGCACAGTAACAGGCTATAAGCACAGTAAAAAACATTTGTAAAGGTGTTGAGTGTGCTGGACCAGAGGGGAAAAGAACATTATAGTGAGCCATTTGGGCAGACCCAGATGAGGGCTAAGCCATCTGAACAACAGACTCTTTGGATGAGAGATTTGTCTTATGGAAGTATACAAGTTACCTTGGAACCTTCCTACTAAGTATCTCAGTGAAATTTAATCTTCTGTGTCCCAGGCCAAGAGTGACAGCAGTTTTCTTACATTCCAAATGAGCAGCTCTTGAGGTATGAAAGAGTGAAACAACATCATTTAGAATCAAATAAAACGTGGGAGCTCTGATTCACAGTCCTATTCATTAATGACTGGTAACTTTCTTCCCCAAGAGAATGAGAAGGATTCAAATCATTGCAATGGGTACAACCCATGACAGGAGTGTAATTTCTTCTGAGTTAAGTTCCTGAATAGAAACCTAAAGGCTTGGCCCTAACAGCCCTTTTCAAGTCAGTCAACTTGTGCTGATGTAACTAATGAGACGTCTGGACCCATCATCATGAAAAGAGAGCAGATTAACACCTATGAAGCTAAAAATAAAAGCGTCACCTCTGAGGCTGGGCCCATGGTGCTTATTACAAGGGGTGGGGTAGGATTGGCAGAGCTGTGCGTCCATCGTGGATGTCACCATGGCACACCCACGCCAACATCTCCACGGAGACATAGCACATTTCTAGCTCCTGCATCACCAACTTGTTGCCAAGGAAACAAGAAGATGCAAAATAAAAAAATAAAAAAAAAAAAGAAGAAAAAAAAATCTCAATGACATTCAATTTTGAGACAGTCAAGAAACCCCTGAAAGGGATTCTAAAGTGCCTGAGAAGGAAATGGAAATTGGGCTTCTAATTACAGATTCTCAACCAATTCCTTTTTATTCCCTGGTTATTCTGTCTGCTCACGTCACTGTCTTCTTGCCATTCTCTGTCTACAGAGGTATGAATGCCAGACACCATTGAAAAGAGAATCAGAAAGAGCTTTCCTGGAGTGAAGGAGAGGAGAGAGGGAGAGCAGGGGAGAAGGTTACTCAGTACAAGCAATAGTGGAGATTCCGTAACTCAGAGGAAGGTGGTGGAGAGAAGATGCAGAAACGAAAATGTGTGGAAGGAAGGCAGAATAGGAAAGAAGGTTTCTGTGAGAAGGGAATATGTGCAGTTGGCAGGTGTGGGTGTACACATGTATATCTACACCAAATGCATGTGTATTTTTATACATACAGCTGAGAAGGTACATGTGCATACAAAGGTGTACCAAAATCTACATTGCATAAATAAAAACCTGAGCTGTGCACCCCCCAAAAATCAAGCTGACATAGAAATCAACCAACTAAACAAGAAAGAGTGTATCTTTTCATTTTGTTTCTTTTAATCCATTGTAGCACTATATTTTCAAGCTTTTTCCACAACCAAAAAGCTACAAATCTCCACCTCTTTTTAAATGACAGCCAGAACTTTTGCAACCACCTGACTCTAGGAGCTGTGGCTTTGCAAGAAAGGAGAAAATGTAAGAAAAATTGCAAGAAGGTGCTGACAGGTGGCAAACCTGGCAGGGCACATAAACACAAGAGCACACAAGAGAACCAGCAAACTGTATGACAGTATGAAGGGGAGGATGTGTTGGGTGTTACTGAGCAGAGACACACAGCCACCAAGACAAGACGTGCAGGTGTTGTCTAAGCATAGCAGAGCCACCCTCCTTGACCACTGAAACCTGCACAGTCTTGACTCAGACAGCCTAGTTCTCTTAGGGAATGAGCACAGAGAGGGTTAACTGAGTAGATGTCATCTGCATATTATCTTACTTGAGCATGAGAGATAGGGAAAGTTTCATCATGGGATAGCACAAAGTGGTGCAGGTGTTTAATGGCTACCCTGCATGGCTGCAGGAAGGCTTCAATTTGGGTTAGTGCTGAAACAGATGAAAGACCTCTGTCTTCACGTACTTCTCTTCAATATTCAGTCGCACCCTTCTTCATTCCTTGAGCTTGTCATCAAACTTGCAGCCAGAAGTAAGATTGCTATAGACCAAGAAGGAAAACTTGTAGACAGAAGTTAACCATTGCTGAATTCCAACAGAATGATACGGAGGGATCTCATTTAATAACAAGGAGTTGATGGATTTATGGCTGTTGATAGTAAAAGGCTGCTAGCAGTAAGGTTTGGACTCCATCCCAGGGAGACCAGAACCATTGCTAACTGAACACAAATATCCCTTTGTGCCCCCTTCCACCTTCTTCCTGCCTCTTGTACAGGTCTTTTCTGGACTGAAAAGTCTCTACACACTTCAAGGCAGATTTTCTTCCCCTTGTTAGAAGAAGATGCAGAGGATACCAAGGGCTTCTCTAAAAACCTGTGTGGTGACAGTCCTGGCAGTCCAACAGCTTTCTCTAAGGTTGCCATGACATGGAAGTGATGGGCACATGAATCACAACTGTGGAGAACACCAGCCTACATGCAGATGCTGCATTCAGATTAGCAGAAGCAAGTCCTGACCACTCAGCTCTCCCCTACTTACTGTGTGAGGTACTTTGGAGTATCCAGTCCCCTGGGGGATTGTAAGCAGGAGAGGATGCGGAGACCTCCTCTTACATGTATGCACTCAGTATAAAACCACAGCAACACAAGAGCCTGAATCACCTAAATGATGAAACCAAGGTCAGATTCAAACAATTAAAACATTTTAAGCATTTATCAGTGGTCCACTTGCACTTTATTCTTGAGTAAGATGAAAATAGCTAAAGTGCCTAAACTGCAGGACACAGAAAGTGGGCTCAGCTTTGTGTATTCCAATGCCACAGTGCCTCACAGACTCAGCCCATGGAAGCAGAACACAGTGTGGCCATATCCAAAGGGGCCATATGCCCCCAGCAGAGCTGTACAGACAGAGGGTGTCTGGTGCTGAGAGCTTGCCATAACTCAGATGTAGGGAACCAGAGGCATTGCTGTCAAGATGCAGGGTAAGTCCAAGTGAAGGAGAAGATAGTAGAAGTCCATTTCCTCTTTTCAGCACATCTTGATTTCTCCATCATATGTCTCAGCCATACTTTTTTTTTAGCATATCCAAAATGCTACATCTTCTCAACTAAGATAAATACATAATTCACATGGCTATTTTTTGTATTAAAAAAAAAGAAAAAAAAAAGAAAGAATGCTTTTATCAGGGAGTTTAGAATCACAAATTACTTGTGAAAAAGGATATAATGCATTCTGTTTAAAAATGCAGGTATATATCACAACTACCAGCTTCTGAATCACCACTACATGTTCATGTTTCGTGGAAGGAAAGATTTTTTTTTTTGATAACTTACTGTTTTGAAGTGACATTAAAATTTGCTTTGGGCAAAATGCAAGTTCTGATAATTTTGGCTTTTTCTGTTTACTCCAAGTGCTGTTCATCAATGAAATGAACATTTATTCCAAGTGACTTTTTTTCAGGCATAATTTTATAATTCATATTTCCCTAGATACAGTTTTGCCTCTTCAACAAATATTTTAATAGGAACTACTAAATTTGCTTTGAGTGAAAAAGACGCCCTAGGAAATTCAGAATTTCAGAAAAATGTTTCTAAAACTCTGACAGCGGTTTCCTTTGTAAACACAATTACAACAGAGTTACGCGGTATGACTTTCCTAAATGTTTAATGCACAGTACAGGCTCTCTTACTCGCATGCATACATACACATACATACATTCTCTAACACACTGCATGCCTGCAATGCAAATACAGCATCATCTCTCCCTCTAAACACACAGAGACCTTCTCTTTAGTATAAGGACAGCTACACACACACACCTGCACAGTGAAATCTTTCTGACACAGAGGCCCTGAAACACAATTTTATCTCTCTCTTATACACACTGTCATTCCTTTTTTCTAACACAATGTAATCTCCCTCTTGCTCTTTCTTTCATACACATAGACACAAGAACAGACACATACAGTGTAATCTTATCTCTCTGAGATTCAACTACAGTATCTACACTATTTTCAAAATTGCATAAACACTTTCTGCCTGACATTTCCATTTGTAGACTCCATCATTCACAACTACAAAATTGATTGCAGAGATGGGAGGATGTGGAAGGAAGTCCTTGATCACGCAAATGCCTGTCTCTTAGGTAAAGAGGCCTTTTCTGGCAAGATTTTATTTTACAAGCCAGGAGACATTATAAGCAATGTTTTCAGTTTGGATGCAGCATTAGTTACACAGTGCTTCTTGTTATATTACACCACCAACAAATAGTAAGAGACTTAAACAGCTTGATAAAAAAATCTGCTAGATCACAAAAAAGATTTTTCCTGTATTGCTATCATTGTCAAACACTTCATTGATACGTTCCACAAAACGTGCTGCAAGCAAATTACAATATGCAGTTACACCTATATTTCCTGTGACATATAATATGCTGTAGGCCCTGAGATTTCAAAAGAAAGCTGTATAGAGGAGGTTCCACCTCCACTTAAGCTATTATTTCTACAACAAAAGTCTGTTCTTAAATCACTTGTATTAGCAGGATTGTTCTAATGGGAATATTAAAATGAATGTCTGCCTCTGTGAGCTTCTCTACACAATGGAGATTGCCAACAGTGACAATTAGAGGATGTAACACAGAGCACTTCTCTTGCATGCCATTGATTCAGACCCAGAGTAACTGGCTGACAATTTTGGGGGGACCTCTGCAAAATGAAATTTCATACCCTCATTTGATTTCTCCAGATTACCTCATAACAGATTGAAATATTAAAATGAAAATGAAATTAAGGATCTGGGGTTGATCAGTGATATTATAGAGCAGGTAAACAGGAATTTTTTCACAGGATCTAGTTGGACTGAAAGGGTTTTCATTACCTCCATTGAGGAGGCTTTAAAGAAAAACTGCAGAGGAAAGGGTTATTAAAAAGAATACCAGAAAACCAGCCTCAGAGTATTGTCTTAGCTCTAAATAGGCACCTTAACTAAACACAACTAGAGTCCCTAACAGAGAGTAACTTGTTACAATTCCTGGAAAAATGTTATTCCTTCATCATGAAGGGAATTTTGCCTAAGAATTTGGACCAGAACATCAATATGGCTTTAAGAAAATTTCCTGAGAGACAGAAGGAAGGAAATACTTTTGTCGAGCCCAAACTCACAAAAGAACCTGATCCACTGAAGGACTGGAAAAGCAAAAGCAGCTGTCCTACTACCAGAGGAAACTAAAAGAAATGTTTTCCTTTAATGGCCTACAATACTGGTTTGATTAACCATACGTTGGTTTGAGAACGTTGTCTGACTGACTCTGTCAGCACAAGGTCACAAAGCTCCAAACAAAAAGACTGCTGAGCCAAGACCAACTGGGGTCACAAGCAACTGGAGTGGAGGGATGTAGGCAAAGAACAGGATAGAGACAGGATCCCATTTTAGGAGTGTCTCAGAGGGTTTGAGGATGGAAGTGTGGTACCCCTGGCTATGACAACGATAGATAGAACAGGTGTATTTTAAGCAGCACTGAAGAAGTCATGGGAAACTCCCATGCCCTGCATGTGTTTTGTCCCTTTTTTAAGTTATAATCCCATTGGAAGTGTGAAGCAGTGGTTTTCTGCCAAACAGCCTTCAGCTACCACAAAAATACCTAAACCAAAGCACATGACCACTTCCGACAATACAGAAATTGACCCTAATCTACTGTAGGAAGCTCATATCACCACAGACCTTGCAAAATCCATGCAGTGAGAGTCAATGTCCCATTCTTTCTCTCCACAGAATTAATAGAGGAGGATCAGGTCCACTACAAACTTCTCCCACACACCACATACCCCCATGTGCCTTTTCCCCTCTTGCCCCTGGAACAGATGCCAAATGTCCACAACTCCATCTGTAACCCCATTCACAGCACTGGCATGCTGTGTTGCACTAGAGGATGGAAGAGGATTTCACAAGCAGGACCCAATGTCACTCTACCCCTGAGGAAGAACAGCATCACTCAGCCCCTTTCTACAGCAAGAAACCCAGGGCAGCTGCATGTAGCAACTGCAGACTGCATATAGCTCATGAGTTTCCTGACTCCTTTCATGATATCTGTGATAGTCACCTGGCAATCTTCTGCATGGAAAACATTCCCTGGAAAACAGATTGGGTTACTAGTTCAGCTGCCCTCAGGAACTCCAGACTTTTTCCTCCTTCCTGAAAATTTCTTTTTGATATCAAATACTGTGACATTAAGGATCCTGATGATTTTGAATGCTGTTTAGATGTCTAACCTTGAGAAAATTTTGTAGGCCTCACACTACCTCATGAGGGCTGCTGACCTTAAAATATTACTTGCTGGTTGTGAAACAGATTCACTTCTTAGAATCACCTTTGATGCACTCTTTGAGAACCTGTAGGAAAATGTCACCTGTAGGTTAGTCAGCTCATTTGGAAAACTGTCTGCTCAGCATCTACTTGTCATGGTGTCTTGCCATTGATTTGTGACTTGTTGTTAGAAACAGACCTGAGTTTTGGTGCCTTCCTGAACAAATAGGTTTCCACAGGTCACTTGGACAGTGGTGGTTGCTCTGTCACAAGGCATCTCCACCTCAGTCACCTCCACACCTTGCTGCTGTCCCTCCAAGCCTGAGCAGTGGCCCTGCTGTCAAACTTTCTAGGTAAAGCTCAGTGTGGACTCCTGCAGCTCTTCCATTTCTACCTCTAATGAGATTGACCCATGGAGGCTGCTTCATTGAGGATTCAGGAGAAAGCCACTAATCAAGCTGACTGAAACACAACACAAAACTTCCTTCTCTCTATCTCTGTCTTCCACAGTTTCCTCTTTCTTTCTTTCTTACTGTGTAATCAACCTAGTTATCTACCTTTCTGTCACAATAGTAGCTAACTAGCTCTTCAATATTTCAGAAATAGAAAAACAACAGCATAGTCTTTTCTTCTTTTCCTTCCCAGGCTGTAGGAGGAATTGTTCAATTCATTTTTTAGGTGGCATGATTTGTTTGCTTGTTTATAGGCATGCATGCAAGTGGGTGTTTTGTAGATGTACGTGCAGAGCTCACTGGGGGAGGGCGAGGCTGAAGAGCCAAGCTGTGTATTTATTACTGAGAGTGGCGAGATGCATGACCTTCCACAGCTGATGTGTTATGGACCACCGCAGCACAGCCCCTGTCAGCACTCTGTCTCCTCCTTTGAGCTCAGACACACCAGCAAATCTGGAAAACAGCCTAGAAGGGAGATATTTAGTGGGGGAAGAAAGAGGAAAGAGCAGCATTATTATTATTTCAGTCTCAGCTACTTCAAGATTGCCTCTGTCCTAGATAAACAAGATATCTCCTGCTATTGAATGAACATCTAAACATGAGGCAAATGCTGTGGAGAGGATGTTTTCTTAGGCCAGCTATTATGGACAGGTAGGAAATGTTACACAAGTATGTCTTTGGGATTGACATGACAGTGGAGTGAAACACTGTGCAGATCTTTGAAGAAACTTTGACATTTCTAGTGCTACAAGACATGACAGCAGAAATTTCCTGGACAGTGTACTTCTGAAAAAATTATTTTTACCAAAATTCTCTAAAAAATATTTGTGCCATAAAGTACAAATACCCAAAAATATTTTGCTTTCATCGATGACAGATATTGCACTGGCTCCTAACAACCACATTTAC